ATGATGTAGCCCCTTCCCAAGGGGCGGGCTCTCTGTTGCTAGGTTTGTGCAGCACCTCGCAAAGCGCGAATTCCAGCAGAGACTCAGTGAACCGTGAGCAGCTCTCTGGAGCGTGGGACTGCAGAAGTGCATTAGGGGCCGAAATCTCTCTGTATGTCGCTTAGAGCAGGGCTCCTAACTCCCCGCGGCTCCTTCCCAATACCAGCGAAAATCACAAGTGAGGAGGGATGTACCGTATAGACCTTCCTGCCTCACAAGGGTCTTTCCTGCGCTCCGCTTGGGGGCTGCGAATTTTAGTGTGAAAAGACCAAATCCCATTTACACACCTTACTGAGTTCGGATTCCCAAATATTGAGGCAGTTTCAAAGCTTTCACACACAGACACACCCCTGCTGGGCTGAGCTCCCTGTCTCAGGCGGACACGCGTCCCAGGCACAGATCGCCACGTGTGGACACAGCTCACACCCCGACATCTCTTATAGCCGCGTTGTGAAACCCGCATGCAAATTCCTGCCCCGGCGCCCTTGATTAAATCCAGGCCCCTGCTGGGAGGAGCCTCAGTCTCCCCGTAGGCAGATAAATGCCGGGTCCTAAATTTGGGGGACCGTTTGCACCTTCACTGAAAATGAACCTGCTGATGATTTTCCTCTTTTTGCTTGGGGCCCCTTCAGGTACGTGGCTACTGGGGACCGGGGGGATCCCCGCAGCACTGACTGCAGAAGAGGAGCCGTTCCAGCAGCCCAGGGGAATAAGGTGCCCGGATTCCAAGGCAAATCCGTGGTTGTTGGGTGCCTCAGTCCCTTAGGTGCAGTGTCAGGATGTTTAATTTTCACATGTTCCCGGCTCCCAGGGGACAGGGCCTGGCTCTCTCCGTCATTCGCGTGTTTCCCTCAAAGAAGGCAAAGGGGAAGTGGCAGGGAATTTGGTGCCCCATTTAATTTGGCACCCTAGGTGGCTGCTGAGTTTGCCTATAGGCACGGGGCACCTATGGAAAGGATGCTGGATTTGGGGGTGCTCTGAGATTGTGGGGGATATTTCTGTTCCTCCCCAGTTTCACGTATCCAGCCAGAGTTCCTCTGGGCAGCGTACACTGGCTCCATGCCATTGCTTTGAGGAGCCATGGGTCCCCATCTGGCTCCCTTGTTTTGAACCTCTGACCTGCACCCCCTGAACTTGTTTTTCATTATTTGCCCCCAGAATCAGTTGATCCCTAGGTCCAGTCACCCCTCCCAGCAAGGCTGGGGAAGGGGCTTTTAGAACACTCCTGGGCTATGTCTACATGAGTGGGTTCTTGAGCAATAACATCTTGTGCAAGAGTTCCTGTTGAAGAACTTTTGCACAAGAACATGTCCACATGGCCATGTGCTTTTGCACAAAAGCATCCATGGTAGTGTGGACACTCTCTTGTGCAAGAGTAGGAATAAATAGTAAGTTTTCAGAATGGAGAGAGGTAACTAGTGGGGTCCCCCAAGGGGGGACCCATCCTATTAAACCTATTTGTAAATGAGCTGGAGAAAGAGATAAACAATGAGGTGGCAACATTTGCAGATGATACTAAACTGCTGAAGATAGTTATGATGAAAGCAGACTGTGAAGAGCTTTGAAAAGATCTCACAAAACTAGATGAATGGTCAACAAAATGGCAAATGACATTTAATGTTGATACATGCAAAGTAATGCACATTGGAAAAAAATAATCCCAACTATACATACAATGGGGAGTAATCTTGAATCTTACAACTACTCAAGAGAGAGATCCTGGAGTCATTGTGGATAGCTCTCTGGAAACATCCACTCAAATGTCAAATGTGCAGTGCCAGTAAAAAAAGCAAACAGAATGTTAAAAATACTTTATAAGGGATAGAGAATAGGGATTCAGTAGTGTAGTCAATTAACTAATAATCAAAAGCTTATTGGTTAATGCTACAGACTACATGCATTGCCCTCTTCCCAGTTGACAGTACATTTTTAGCAGCCCCTGTACCATGCTGGCTTGTGCTGGGTCTAGAAGCTCACGCTCCTCCAGATAGGGGCTGCTGCCACTCCAGAAGCTGCAGCGTGGGGTGATAGGCAATTGGTCTGCATAGGGAGCTGGTTTTTAAACTGGCTTCTCTTGCAGACCACCTCCCACCTGGCACCCCGCACTGCTGCCTCAAATACAGGGGCATCGCAGCAGAGCTGGAGTGCTCTGGCTGCCAGCCCTACCCTCAGGGACTATAAAATAGTCAAGTACCTGATAAGAATTCATGAGGTTAATCAATTATTCAATTAACTGATATTTAACATCCCTAATAGAGAATAAGACATTGTCTCTATAGAAAACCATGGTACCACCACACCTTGAATACTGCATACAGATGTGGTTGCCTCATCTCAGAAACGGTATATATAGGCATTGGAAAAGGTTCAGAAAAGGGCAACAAAAATGATTAGGGGTTTCAAATGGGTCCCGTATGAAAAGAGAATAAAGACTTGGACTTTTCAGCTTAGAAAAGAGGAGACTAAGGGAAAGGGGGGTTATGATAGAGGTCTATAAAATCATGACTGATTCACTGGGAACAGTGAATAAAGACAAATTATTTACTTCTTCTCATAATATGAGAGCTAGGGTCAACAATGAAATTAATAGGCAGCAGGTTTAAAACAAACAAAAGACAGTAGACACTTAGTAGACAGTCAACCTGTGGAACTCCTTGCCAGAGGAGGTCTTGAAGACCATGGCTACGTCTACACTGGCATGATTTTCCGGAAATGCTTTTAACGGATAAGTTTTCCATTAAAAGCATTTTCGGAAAAGCTTGACTAGATTGGCAGGACGCTTTTCCGGAAAAGCACTTTTTCTGGAAAAGTGTCCGTGGTCAATCTAGACGCGCTTTTCCGCAAAAAAAGCCCCGATCGTCATTTTCGTGATTTCTTGCGGAAAACACTACTGTGCTGTCTACACTGGCCCTTTTCCGGAACAGTTTTCCGGAAAAAGACTTTTGCCCGAATGGCAGCAGCATAGTTTTTCCGGAAAAGCACTGATGATTTTATATTAGATCGTCAGTGCTTTTCCGGAAATTCAAGCGGGCAGTGTAGACAGCTGACAAGTTTTTCCAGAAAAAGCAGCTGATTTTCCGGAATAACTTGCCAGTGTAGACACAACCCATGACTTTAACAGGTTTCACAAAAGGACTAGATAAATTCATGAAGTTTAGGTCCATCAATGGCTATTAGCCAGGATAAGTAGGAATGCTGTCCCTAGCCTCTGTTTGTCAGAGGCTGGAAACAGATGACAGAGGAAGGATCACATGATGATTCCATGTTCTGTTCGCTCCCTTTCAGGCATCTGGCATTGGCCACTGTTAGAAGACAGGACGCTGGGCTAGATGGACCTTTGATCTGACCCAGTACGGCCCTTCCTATGTTTCTTATGTTGAAACCCATATTTGCCTAGTCAGGGATAATTCTGGGCCAGGCATGAGCATTTCTGTTGTACTGCCAGCCTGAGGCCCCAAAAGAGATGACTTTAGTCACCTAATTTCCTGCCTCATTCCCATAGTGCCTGGCATGAATTAATTCACCTCCTGCTTTACCCACACCCTGGGTAACTTTATTGTCTGTATGTGTTGTCTGAACCTTCATGTCATCCAGATGACTCACCTCAGTCCTAGCAGAGATCCTGGGACCTTTTCTCTAGCTTGTGCCAGCAAGGTAAGGAGAGGGTACAGTGGAAGGCATCCACAATGATGCGGGGACTGCAGCACATGACCTATGAGGAGAGGCTGAAGGATTTGGACTTATTTAGTCTGCAGAAGAGAAAAGTGAGCAGAGATCTGATAGCAGCCTGCAGCGCCCTGAAGAGGGGTTCCAAAAAGGCTGGATAGAGACTGTTCTCAGGCGTGACTGATGGCAGAGAAAGGAGGAAAAGTCTCAGGTGTCAGTGGGGGAGATCTAGGTTGGATATTAGGGGAAATTATTTCACTAGGTGGGTGGGGAAGCCCTGGGATGGGTTCCCTAGGATGGGAGTGGAATCTCTATCCCTAGAGATTTTTAAGTCCCAGCATCACCATGCCCTGGCTGGGACAGTTGAGCTTGCGTCGGTCCTGCTTTAGGCAGGGGTTTGGCCTCGATGATATTCCAAGGTCTCTTCCAGCCCTGGGATTCTATGATTCTATGACTGGACACTCTGAAAGGGATCTGGGGGTTGTGGTGGAGAATTAGCTGACAGCTAATGTGGCCATGGGATGCACAAAGGAAGTTGTCTGACAAGGAGAGAGGGCATTTCACCTTCCTGTTTGGCACTGGGTTGAATACTCTGCCCGAGTCTAGTGTGCACAACCTGTGACGTAGTATGGGGTACCTTGCTGGTTGCTATGCTGGGTGGTGGGCTGTGGGTGACCCCTACTGGGTACTGGCTGCAGCACAGCACAGCAAGGCAGGGGATGAGTCATTATTCAAGGGGGTTCTGAACCTGTCCGACCAGTTACCTCCCAGGGAGCGGAACAATGGAAAGAAGGTGGAGTGGAGCCCTGGATGGGGGACAGGGCTGGAAGTTAGTTAGGGAGTTGTCTGTCTGGTTTGATGGAGGAAGCAGCCTAGACAACGGGCTGGGATTTAGAGGCCCAGTCTCCCCCATCTCAAGGGGGGCTGAGGCATCCTTGGCCTGCCCTGTAACCAGACTACATCTGTGCTGTGCTGTATCCTAGAGAAGCAATAAACTCCCTCTATTCTACTGGCTGGTGGAGTATGTTCGTGCCATTACGGGGGTTCAGGAGGTGGGCGAACCCCAATGCCTAGAGCGGGAAAAGAAAATCACAGCAGCCATGAGAATCCTTGCAGTGGAAATCCTGCCTTATAATGATGGACACAGAGAGTTTGAGCCCTGTAGCCCTGTCTTATAAGGCAGAGATTTACTACAAGACCAAAGTCCGAGTCTCTGATTCCTATTAATACTGATGCATCACAAAAGCCACTGAGGGCCCATGCTGATGTCTTTATAGATGGGTTTGCAAACTGACTCACATGCTCCTCCTGCATCTGCTGCACATCAACCTGCAGGCCTCTGCCCCCCCTCTCAGTTTTCTCAGAGCCGCTTTCACCTCCTTGTTACGCAGCGTGTAGATGGCCGGGTTCACCATGGGCGTGACCAGATTGCCAAAAATGTTCACGGGTGTCACCAGCATTTTGCTCATCTCTGGGTGAGAGTAGATCAAAGCGCAGGGCCCGAAGAACATGGTCACCACCACCAGATGGGAGGCGCAAGTGGAGGTCGCTTTGCGACGCCCTTCGCCCACGTTCATCTTCAGGATGCAGAAGATGATCCGGATGTAGGACACAAGGATAAGGACGAAGCAGCTCATGGGCACCACCCCAATGTTGATGAAGCTCACAGTCTCCAAGATGTACGTATCCACGCAGGCCAGCTTGGCCACTGGGAAGATGTCGCAGAAGAAATAGTCCACCACGTTGGACCCGCAGTAGGGCAGCGTGAAGGTCAGGCTGGTGACGATGGTGGCGTGGAAGGAGCTGGCGATCCAGCTGCTGGCAGCCAGGAGGCCACACACCCTGTGGTTCATGATGATCAGGTAGCGCAGTGGGTGGCAGATGGCCACATACCGGTCAAAGGCCATTATGGTGAAGAGCAGACCTTCGGTGCTGGCCAGAAAGTGGAAGAAGAAGACTTGGGCCATGCACCCGCCCAGCGAGATGGTTCTGCTGTTGGCCCAGAGGTTGGCCAACAATTTGGGGATGCTGATGGAAGACATGCCAATGTCCAGCACAGCAACGTTGCAGAGGAAGAAGTACATAGGGGTGTGCAGGCGGCGGTCGGTGAGGACGGCTGAGAAGATGAACAAGTTGCCCAGCAGGGTGCAGAGGTAAAAGGCTAAGAAGGTGAAGAAGAGGATGGTCTCAAAGCCATTGGTGTTGGGGATCCCTAAGAGGATAAAATGAGTCACCGCAGTGAGGTTCTCCAGCCCCATTTTGGTCTCAAAAGCAGAGAAATGCAGCCAGAGAGTTACAGAAACAAACAGACTTTTCATCCTCTAGCTACATTGTTCCCCTTCCATCCACGGCCCCCAGGACTCACTTTCCTTGTCCTTGTAATTCCAGTTTGGGGCAGGGCCTCTCTGAGAAGACTGAGAGGGGACTTGATAGTGATTTTCAGGTACCTAAAAGGGTGCCACAAGGAGAAGGGAGAAAAATTATTCTTCTTGGCCTCTGAGGTTAGAACAAGAAGCAATGGCCTTAAACTGCAGCAAAGGTTTAGGTTGGACATGGAGAAAAATTTCCTAACTGTCAGGGTGGTTAAACATTGGAATAAGTTGCCTAGGGGGGTTCTGGAATCCCCATCTCTGGAGATATTTAAGAACAGGTTAGATAAATGTCTATCAGGAATGGACTAGACAGTACATGGTCCTGCCATGAGGGCAGAGGACTGGACTCGATGACCTCTCGAGGTCCATTCCTGTTCTAGTGTTCTATGATTTTATGTGCCGGCACTGAGCATGGTGAGTGCCACCGGTATCAGAGACTCAAGAGAGACCAGACAAAATGGATCACCTGACTCTATTAGAATCTCTTCTGGCTGCTCTGTGCAAGTTTCTTCTCTTCTCTCCTTGTGCAATTACAATTTCTTCAGTCATGTTCCCTCTGAGCCTGTTCACCACAGTATCCTGCAGCCTTCTGTTTGTGGCTAACCTTTGGGGAGTGGTTCTCTCTCTCCCTCTCTCTTATCACAGAATCCCTGGGCTGGAAGAGACCTCAGGAAGTCATTGAATCCAGCCCCCTACCCAAGCAGGCCCAATCCCAACTAGAAGCCTGAGGCACTTTAAAGAGCATCTACAGTGCACCCTAAACTCAAAATAAAAAAAGCAAATAGCATATTTTGAAAATTGGTGCATCTCTGTGTGATGGCGCGTTGGGGGTTCCCCTTCTCCTGCACCCCGAAATGGCACAAACAGACTGCACCAGCCAGTGGAATTGAGGGTGGTTTATTGCTCCTCCAGCACAGCGCAGAACAGATGTAATCTGGTTACAGGAACTGGGCTAGGATGCCTCAGGCCCCCTTGAGATGGGGGAGACTGGGCCCCTAAACTCCAGCCCCTTCCCCTAGGCTCTCCTCCATGCCCTCCCACAGTCTAACTAAATTCCCCTCCAGCCCTGCCCCCGCAGTCAGGGCAGCATTCCACCTTCCTTTGTTCCTCTCCATGGGGGGTGTCTGGCCACTGGTTCAACCAGTTTGGCCTTATCTCTGCCTAGCCAGGTTTTCCCTGCTGGGTCTTGCTCCAGACAGCAGGGGTCACCACAGCCCAGCAATTACCGTCCCCCCAGAGCCAGCAGCATAGAAACCAGCCAGGTACCCCCACTACGTCACAGTTCTCCCCCCTCCGAGAGCGAACTGAGCAGGGTGTGAGGTAGTGGGGGTACTTGCTGGGCTGTGGTGACCCCTGCTGTCTGGAGCAAGACCCAGCAGGGAAAGCCTCCGCTCGGACTCGCTGTCTCAGAAAACGTGACTTCCCTTCCTAGAACCGAGCGGGCCGTAAGCCGAGAGATTTCCAGACCCGACACTTATCTCCGTGACAGCGATGGCTGCTCCGCTCCCAGCCGGACGGTTCTCGCCTCGCTTCGACCAAGCTCCCGAGCTCGCTGTTCTCCTTTTCGTTCCATCCCCAGACGGGAGGACACCGGGACGACTGACTTCTTATCGCTTGCTACCGAACCCAGCAAAGAGGGAAAAAACAAACTTAGCCCTTCAGTCCGCAAGGACGCGGCATCGCTTTTCCTCCCCTATAACCCACCGCAGCCACCCCCTCCCGCTGCAACTGTAGAAACACGGAGAGAAAGGAGGCCTTGAATCTCTATCCACGCTCTGTTAAACCGACTACTGCCCCTTCCCCAGTCCCCAAGCCACCAGGCTCCGTGCCCCAGCAGGAAGCTCTCTGCCTCAGAAGAAACCTACTGCCAGGACGCTTGAAGATTTCAAAGCACCCATCTCCTACTCACGCAGAGCCATGGGAAGGCCGAACGCTGAGAACCCCTCCTGTGTCCCAAAAATCACGTCCAGGAAGCTCCAGTCCATCTCGGACGGTCTCTTCTCCGGACACGGCCCCGCGCCGATTCGTCTGCAAGCGCGGAAGAAAAACCCCAGCGTGAGCTCTCACTCACTAAGGTCTCTGGCTGCGGGACTTCTATCCTTTAGACCTTGCCCCTCCCTCCCCTCTCTATCGGGACCGCTACAAGAACACTGAGTCAGTCACCCCTGATGCACCACCACTTTCCCTTGCTCTACCTTGCGTACCTGCATGATTCCCGTTGGCTCCGGAGCCCTTAACCCGTGGAGATGCTCACCTGGAATGCCTGCAAGTGTCCCGTAGAAGGACACGGAAGAAGCAGAGCAAGGACAGAGACACAGACAGAAACAGACAGACAGAACGTATTGGCCAATACGAGAGAGCAACAAGAGAGAAACACACGAGAGGCAGCCAGAAACCTTACCACCTTGCGTCTCCCTCCTCGAGCCGAGCGTCTGCTGAGAAGGACACCGTGGTCCAGAGAAACCAGCACCACTGACAAACGGGAGACCTCTTTCTCCCACAACCAAGGCAGCACCTCGGAAACCTCCGCTCGGACTCGCTGTCTAAGCAAACGTGACTTCCCTTCCTAGGAACGGGTGGGCCATAAGCCGAGAGATTTCCAGACCTGACACTTATCTCCGTGACAGTGACGGCTGCTCCGCTCCCAGCCGCACGGTTCTCTCCTCGCTTCGACCAAGCTCCAGAGCTCGCTGGTCTCGTTTCTGTTCCGTCCCCAGACGGGAGGACACCGGGAGGGTTGACTTCCTATCGCTCGCTACCCAACCCAGCAAAGGGGGAAATCAAACCAAGCAACTTACTTTTCAGTCTCTCTGTACCAGGGAAACCAGTACACCTGACAACGTAAAAGGGAATACGTTGGCATCTCAGTCCGTAATGTCGCGTAACCTCTTCTCACATCTAAATTATGCTGCTGTCTTCCACCCTCCCACTCCGCCTCTCCCTGGCACTGCAGAAATACCAGTGGAGAAGAGCGCTTTGAGCCCACATCCAAATAGTCTCCTTACAGAGCATACCCAGCAGAATTCTTCGTACCCAAAAGGAAGCTCATGGCCTGTGATGAAACCGACTGCTAGTTGTCCCCTACTTTTTTGAAGGCTCCCAAGACCACATCTGTGGAGATGTTCACCCAGCAGACCTGCCCATGTCCTGTGGAGG